GAGTGTGCTGTCCAACTCAAGTGCTGGAACAGAAATGTCTATAAATTGCAGGCACCCGTGAGTCTGCGACAAACAATGAAAGAGGATTACCTAAGGCAACTGTCTGTTTTTAAAAGGTATTTAATACCCTCTAAATTCAGTGTTGACAGGATACAATCAATTTGTGACCGTTCTTTGCCTGATAATGAAACGAAATGGAGAAGGATACAGAATTTTCATTTCTCAAACCTGTCAGTGTTTTATGGTTTTTGTGGTGAACTGCTTTGTGGTCTGTTGAGCTGGTCTTCTGAAAAGGCACTTAATGTATTGCTTTTTCTAATGCAGAGCACCAGATGCACTGAAAGAAGAATTTCCAGTGAAATGTGTGTGCTTAACAAAAATGCGTTTAGATAAATTAATTTCTTGAGTCTTCTTTTATAATGTAGATTTTTTTTTTTTTGCATATATGTCTAGAAAATATGATTAATTTAAAGTCTAGTTTCAGGTAGTCTGTATTTGCATTTGGTCAAATTTATGGCAATTGATGAAAATTTTCCATGCATGTATTTTTCACAAGGTTGATCTCTGATTTTTGCAGTTGTTCCTATTTTCTGTATCCAGTGAAAGAAATGGAAGTTACTAAAAAATTACTTGATATTGAGGAAAATACTGTCTTTTACTAAGACCAAACTGCTCCTGGAGTGTAATATGGCACAGCACTTTACTGATTTGCTCTTCTGGGTTTTGGCATTCTTGCTAATCCTCTTCCTCTTCCTACTAATACTGCAGAGCAGATGTAGCTTAGGGAGGTGAATTCTTTCCTGTTGATGATGCTTGAGACAGAATTGTTTGCTTAGTTCCAGTCAGATAGACTTTGTGCCGCTGTAAACAATGAGGTGGCACAGATGTTGCTGTGGGCATCATTTGCCCTGTCAGAGTTTTATTACTGGTGATTCATGAGCTGCGAAGAATCTCAGAGGCCAGGCTGATTTTACAGGGTTGGTGTTCTAAAAAAGATGCTGTATTTCTGTTTGCTTATGAGTGGAAAGCATTTTGTTATGAACTCTCCTGCAAATATAGAACATTTGAATAGTGTTTCTCCAAGTCACTTCTTGGTGAGCCACACTTTAATCACACTCTATTACTGTGTGATGCAATTCATTATTAATATTGCAGTTTATTAATATTTTTTTCCAGAGACAATTAGAATACTAGTAGTGTGAATGAAATTCTACCCAAGTGATGTGAATTTGTCCTTCAAAAGAAAAATATAAAGGAGAAAATATTCATATATACATCTATAAAAAACTTTTAATGAGCTAATTTGGTATGTGCGAATCACACACAAGAGACATTATATTAAAAAAATGGTTTTTATTTGTGGCCTTGTTGAATCAAATAGTTATTTCTTCTGTAGCGATGTTACATGATAAGGCACTAGTTTATAGCAACTTATGTCATGCATTAACACCAGTCATATTGATAACTGAAAACTGGCTAAATTCCCCATTGAATTTGTGTTCTTTGGTGTCTTGAATGTCAATTTTATCATAGATGAAATTCCCGAAATTTCATGAATGAAAAGAAATGCTCTCTGATGCTATCTGATGTGGAACAGAGCTCACAAAGAGTGATCCCTTCACTTTGGATATAAACTTCTTCAGCCCCAATCTATGTGTTAGGTAGCAATGCTGTATTTTAGTATTCTGGAGGTGTGGAAAGGAGGATTCAGGCAAAAATACAAAATGACTGAATTAGCAAATGATAGGATCTATAACTAGTTACAGTTTCTTAATTTTATGCAGAGATTTAGAGTACGATCTTTAGTAGTTTTCTTTACTTAGACTTCAGTGTAATTCCAGTTTAAATTGTATGTCAGATAAAATAAAGGTTATGTTCTAATGTGTATTCAGCAGTTTTTAATAGAAGTAGTATACATATCCAGAGATATAATGCTTATTTCCCGTTCTTATGGGAAAACTTTGGAAATATGACCCTTCCGTGACATTAGTGGTGTTTGCTTATTTGACTTCGCGGCTGGCATACATACTACGGAGAGATATCAGTGACTTTTTCGCTTTGTCTGACTTTTGTTAGTGTGATTTCATTTTTCTTTTACTTTCCTCCTTTTTCAGATCCGTGGCCATCATGTGGCTCAGCTGGATCCCCTTGGAATTCTGGATGCAGACTTGGATTCATTTGTTCCATCTGACTTAATCACTACAATCGATAAACTTGGTGCGTACACTGTATGCCTTGTTATTTGCAATGGTCATTTGTCTCTTTTGTCTTATTGGGCTGAGGTGATTTAATAAGACACTTCAGGGAAGCTTCTACCTTTTCAGCTTGCTAGTATCATGAAATAGTTTTTTTGAGCATCTGTAAGGAGGCTCAAATTTCTGGACAGTGGAATTTCTACTCTGAGATCACAGGTGAGGTTCCGGTGAATTCACCTTCTGATGAATGATGATTATAAACACTTTGTAAAACCCCTAAATCTTATGATTTTGAACCACACCAGAAATTAATACTAATCAATACATGAGGCCAAGATTCTGGTAATCTAAATTACTTTTATACCATTATGCTTGATACATGTTTTGACTGGGGACATCTGAAGGCTATTTGATAGGAAAAACAAGCAATAAACAAAACAGTGGATAGAGGAACTTAGGGTAAATTTCGTACCAAATTTGGATTCTAGCCTCTGATACTTATTCCTTCTGTATAACTTGAAGAAGTCTGTTTGAAGTTACCAGAAGAAAACACGGAATGTATAGAACTCTTGGCTTGTGTATATAATCCAATGGTGATCATTTTAGTTTACTGCTGGAAGAGCG